TCCTCCGCTTGTGTCTCTGCAGACCTGCTAAAGCTCGGCTAGGACAGCAGAGAGGAGTAAGACACAGCCACGTGGGTTCCTTCTTCCTCTCCTTTCAGTAGCTGACACTGCGGGTCCCCAAGTTCTCTCATCAGTGTTTTTTGCAAGCTCAGTCTGCCCTCCTCACAGTCCTACTCGTGGGCCAGTTTAATAGCAACTGACAAGCTGTTTTCTCCAAGATCAAGCAAGATATCTCAAAAATCCACATAAAGGTTAGTGACCACAAAAAAAAAAAATCAGCTTCTTTTGCAGGTCTGTAGCTCACTCTCCCTCCAAACCACCGCTCTTTCCTACATTCCTGTAGTCTGCTCACTCTTCATCTAGAAGTCCTCAAACCAGATGGTCTTGGGAACCTGGCTTGGAACAAGACCTTTTTAAGTAATTAATTCCACTGAAGAGAATTTTAGTTTATTTCGTTTTGAATAGCAGTCTGCTCATAAAGTTCTGCACGATTTTTGTTTACTTACTTGTTTACTCTTCTAGTTTCAGTGCTGGATATCGGCTCAATGAACATACGTCCTCACAGGGCAAAAAAAATATTTGTTTTCTCTCCTCTGAGAGATTTACACATTGTACATAAAATAGTATGAAATCCCCAAAACCAGTTTAATAGATCTTGGGTATTTGACATACCTCCTTTGATTTTAATTAGACAGGGGGGTTTTTTTGACCTCCCTAAAGAAAACAAGTCTTAACAGCATATTGATCTTTCCAAAGAGAGCGTATTTTCATTAGTCATTCATCTCTTCTGTCACCAAAAAAATGACTTGTTATATTTTACCCTTGATTTACTAATAGAAATCATGTGACCTTTTATTTTTTTTTGCATTCAAGGAAGATGGTTTTACTATCTTTTTTTTTTTTACATTGTCAAAATTCAAAGAATTTAAAGAGATGCAAATCACAGAACCCACTGCTTCCAAGGCTAAAAACATATTTTAACCTTTTATTGCCTATATTCTGCAATGCTTTTTTACTTAGCTATACTTCAATAGCAGAGGGACAGGTGCTTTCCTTGAGTTTCCCTCTTATGGTAACTCATACAATGGAATGATTCTGGGATGATGCTGTTTTCTAACCTTACCTAAATATTTTTAAGCAATAATAAGGTCCCATTCTCCACCAGAAACCAGTAAAGAAGCTGCATTTCACTCAGATCTCAAAGGATTCTTCTAGATAAATCTATTTTTGCACCAGCTGCCCCTCAATGGATACGAGGGAAAGACTGGAGCTCAGCTATACTGATCTACAAAGGACATACAGTTCTGCAAGGAGTCTAAAATACCAGTATAAATGGCAGCAGGTTTCAGCAGCTCTGACTCTGGCACTGACACAAATTAGCTCTCAGAATGGTGGAGCTGTAAACCAGGTCCTGGCATTTTCCAGCTCTGCTGACTTAAACCAGTCTCAATGATGGAGAAAAAAAAATCCAACCAATCATTAGTTCGGAAATATGAACTATGAACATGGGTTTTTTGAATGAAATGTGGCCTCATCCATATAATTTTGTAGTGTAATTATCCAGTGGCTGTATGTTAGATAATGTTTTTGGCTATTGCTTATCTATTATTGCTTTTTTTCACTATTTGTATTTTATTTTCTGTGTAGCACTAAACAAATATCCTAAAGAAACACTCTAAGTATTAAAATAATTATTTATGAAACAAAGCCTAAATTAATATTATTAATTTATCTTTTGATCAAAGATATATTCAAAGATCTATGTCTGAAATGTACAGGCTAGAAATACATTCTTGCCTACTTTGTAAGTTATAAATTACTGCATTAATATTCTTTTTTCCCTTCTCAGAATGTCAGTTCCAGGCTTCCTCTCCTCTCCTCTCCTCTCCTTTTCTCACTTTGTGTATCTCCTGGATTTCTGCTTTTTCAGAATAGGTTTACTCTCTATTCCTCTGAACTCAATGCTCTCAATTCAGCAGATGGCTTAAAACTTTCCTGAAACTATGTATATTCAGGAAACTAATAGTAGTATAAATACCTGATAGCTTTCATGATGTCTGATGTATCACAGAACAATCCAAGGATTTTAGCACCCACATGGCACCGCCTTAAGAGAAAGGTCCTGGCTAATGCTGTGAAACAAAAGATGTCCTGCCAAAAGCATTTCCCATATCCCAGATTTATAGCTAAGCCTTGATTAGCTTTTAGGTTGAAAGCAAAGAATATTTGGAAGGAATACTGTACACTGGAATGCAATATATTAGGTACATCATGCAATCTGTGTACATCTGTATTACTGCTCTAGATTCTCTCTTCGCTCAGTGAGGAGGTATAGACAAATCTGCATACAATTCATCTCATCCTAAAGCACTCATTAAATATAAGGGAATGTGCCCGTTAAGGGTCTAACTCTCCTTCCTCAACTAAGCGATCAATAAAGATATCTAAGTTCATACTGTAGCCCTGTAAAGTGAGTGAGATGAAGCTCACTAGTGCCTCCATTTGGACTACTGAGTTCTCCACAGAGCCAGCACTGACTTAAACAGTTGTCTAAGGCATGAACGAAGATCCTTCGAAATCTACTTCACAACTCCAAGAGGAACATGAGTGCCACATGCCTGCAACTATCCAGTCCATCATGGATACAGCACACTCAAATGGCACTGAGTTCCATCCAAAGTCTGCTTTTTATAGAGCAGCAAATACTTCGCCATTTTAAGTACTTTTGTTGTTTTCTATGTGCTGCCATGTTATTACCCAGGCTTTAGCCCCTCTCTGCCTCAACCCCACTGCTGGTGCTGCAACTCTGGTGCTGCTACCTAGTAGCACCACCTCCAAGTAGCAGGAAGAGGAATCCCAGCTGTATCCTTCCAAAGAAAACATGTTCTGGAAGAAAGAGAATTCCGGAGTTCAGTCCAATGAACGGTGCTGCTTAAAAACATGCTTTCAGTGCATGTGATCTTCAGAGAATATCTGCTCTCAGGGACTTGAGCATTATAGTTTGGCTGCCAATGCATCATATTAAGGCATATGTTAGCTCTCTAGGTAACTTAAGTATTTTCCAAAGGCATCTGAGATTTATCCCCAAGAATGTGGACAATCTGAGAGCTCAACCACCATTTGTACCTGTAAATCTGTCTTGTAAAGTTTATCATCACATTCTTTCCAGTCTTGGCTTTGTAACTGAGAATTAGGTACCTCAGTTGACTTTTTCTATCTTGCCATGGTTTCTCTGTTTTTGACAAGTCAAGGATCTCATGCCCTTGGTCAGCTGCCATAGCTCCACGCAGCAAGCCTACCTGAAATAAAATGCCACCTGCGTATGTATCTCTGGTCCATTCTTCTACAAAGCAGCAGAGTAGAGCAGATTTTTTCATAGCATGTGCTGAAGGCTTCTGCGACCTTTCAAAATTGTCCAAATTTAAGATTATTTTCTATTTGAATCATTTCACTTCCTGGAATGAACTGGCCAAAGTTTCCATGAGTAAGCCCTTTTATGAAACATTTCATTTCAACTTTGGTATGTTCTTGTACTGTTGAAAGTCACGGCTAACATGAGAAAATTATTACAGTGCTTTTATAGAAGCGATACCCCAGGCACCGTATCACAGGGAGCACTCTGTGCAGTGCTTTGTGTGTTGCCTTTCCATTCACACCACGATATTACAGGATGGAAGAGCTGATCTCCAGCTCCTTGATCTGTGAAATGACTGTTTCACAGCTATGCCCACGCCACAGCATTGTCTAGGAGCCACCCTGGGACTTTGCTGCCATTTCAGAGACTTCGTCACAATCTCAGCAGCTGGTTTACAATCCTAATTGATACACTGACTTTAAATCTGAATTGTTTGCATGGCAGGTTATCATTTTGGGGAGGCAGTGGATACTATTGCAGACTGTGATTTTGTCTTGTTTTTATTTATTTATCTGTTTGTTTTCAGTCCAGAAATAGGCAGAGTGAGGCTGTCAACAGGTTCTGATGTGTCGGCATGTCTGTCTGTTCTGATCCTGCATTAGAGTGCCCCTGTTAAGTCCCTGAGCCCCACAAACGCTGTTGGTGCCCTGCATGCAGCATTGCTGGTCCGTGGTATCCTTCATCCAGCATTGCTTGCCAGTATCTTGCATAAATAATAAGAGCTTTGTTAAGCTACTAGAGTCTGGTCTCTGAAAACACGTGGCTCGGCTCACTTCTCTAAGGCTATTACGATGCTACGCAGTGAATGAGATCAAGCTCTCTTTGCAAAATATCTGGACAGCAGAAAAGAAAAAGCAGTGAGGACTGTAATGCAGCTAGGTCCACTTGTTTTATCCAATGAGCATCTGAGGTGAGCACACATTGATTCAGATATTAGAGCATGGTGTGGCTATGAAGCTGAAGAACATTTGGTCAAGGGTGTCTGCAAGGCAGCCCTCCTGACTAGGGGCCAAAAGAGGACTTAGACTTGAGATTCTTCTCCCTGGCAGATTCCGCTCAAGACAAACAGCTGCCCACTGATACATTCTGGAAACTGAATGACAGATACACTCTGATTATCTGGGCCTGACTAAGCAAGAGCAGAAATATTCTCAGGGCTCAATACCAAAGATGGTAGTGGCAAGATGTAAACTTGTCCACTGTATAAAATAGAGAGCATGCAGAGGAAAAAAACGTTTTGAAAACAGTCTGAAAAGCACAGTATTTTTCTAATATTTGGGAAAATATTCAAAGGTTAAACAGATTTTTTTAAAAAAATATTCATTGATTTCAGGGTGTATTTAAATACAAAATTTGTTAGTGTTTATAGAGAAGCTTGTGGTATTTCCATTTTAAAGTTAGAGCTAACTATCTGTTCAAAAGCTGAATATTTACCCAGATTGGGAAAGAAAAACAATTACTTTTGCATGTCTCATACTCCTCTGCCTGATAAACATATTCTGGGGGAAAAAGGACCTTTCAACGTATCTGTAAGATATACAAATTGAAAAAAAATCCTCACTGGAAAGTATTGGTGAGCACGTACTTTAAGATAGTTGGGACTCTTTGTTATTCGATACAAATCCAAGCATTCCTGAAAGTATCAGGTACACACCACAATTTGCAGAAGACGTAACCTGATCACAGCAAGAGCTGAGCTATGAAACAAGAGAGCAAATACGGGCATCAGCAGCAAAGCAGCAAGTCCCGAGGTGTGCAAAGACGGGAGACCATTTGGTGGAGGACTTCAGAAGTGAACCAAAAGCCTTACGAAGTACATAGAAGAGAAATGGTATGAGCAGTGGTGTTCAAATATTGCTGCTGCAGCACTGACCAGCCTGGAGAGAAAAACCTCGAAAAAAAACTCAAAAAAAAAAAAAAGCAGAGCCTGCATTATAGAAATCTATCAAGAGTTTCTGCAAAAGCCAAGCTAATTTTCATGAGCTAAAAAGTCTCTATTTATTTATGAACACCTGAAAATCCTTGGAAAATTAACAGAAGATGTTAAAACTCTTGAAAAGTTGTAATCTCTACTAAACCTTGTGTTAGGATGCACCAGGTGAGCATCCTAGCCCACCAAGCATACTGTCCTGCTTCACTGCTCCTGCTAGCAGCAGCTGTACTAATCGTAGAACCATAGAATCATAGAATCCTTAAGGTTGTAAGGGACCTCTAGAGATCATCTGGTCTAACCCCCTGCACACGCAGGGTCACCTAGAGCACCTGCGCTAGTTGCTCCTGAAATCCAATTCATAGCAACTCAGCAGGCAACAAGTTTATATAAGGCAATAACGTAAAGAGATGTTTAAAGCTAAATATTTACCCAGACATTTCAGTAAAGATGAAAAGCGTAATTGTTAACTTATTAAGTAGTGCAATAAATAGTATTTTATGTATAGCCACATTTGAAAATCTGAATAACTTCTCAATTTTGTAAAAGATAGAATGTTTTTTAGAGAAAACAATCTTTAAAAAAAAACTATACTTTTTTAATTAAAAAAAAGAAAATAGTATCAGTCTTCTCCTCTCTGCCTGACAGTTTTTATCATCTGCTTTTAGATAAAGCACAAGCTATGAAGTCTTGAAAACTGTAAATCACAGAAAACCCAGCACACCCTGCAAACCATGTGGTCAGCTCTTAGAGGCCTGGCAAGGCATTAGACATGAGGCCTTTCGAGGCAGACAGAACTTTTTCCTTTAGCCCTGCAAGAGCAAGCTGTGATTTCAGACTCTAGAGACAGAATGGAGAGCAGGCAGACTCAAGAGCAACATTTAGAAACACTCTTCCTGAATTTATGGGTCACGGATGCTCCACATGCTCAAATTCAAAGGCAGGCGTAAAGTCTTCCTTTAATGGGCACAGGAAGCAGAAGCTGTTATGTTGGTAGAGTTGTTCACGCACATCCCAAGACTCTAGTAGGAATTATCGCATCTCTGCGACTTCTGAAGAGAAGCCAAATGGAAAGTAAAATACTGTTAGTGTGCATGTGGACTTCAGTCCTGCAAAATTCATGCTTTTCACCAAACTGAAAAGTTTATATCTTATATAAATGTAATACATGTGCATATATAAACATATGCACATACATGCATGTATGCATGCATATACAAGTATTTATATGCATACATATATATATATAAATATATATATAAACAGCTGGCCATTCTTTACTGCATCTGTCACAGCTTAATAACATCACAACAGTCCCCAGATACTATCAGTCATGTTTGGATTGCTCAGAATCTGACTTTGGCAGACCTGAATCTATATGTAGCACTAAGCAGTTCATATGGGTCTTATAAAAGTTGTTTGAACTGAATACGCTATTCATTATTTGTCAATGTCACAATTATGCATAATTACATATTAATGAGAACTTCAATATTATAGCTAAGACCATGCGTAATAAAATATTTTTATATAAAATACTTGCATTAGAAAGAGCTTTTATGATGTGTTAAGACAGGCACACCCACTATAAGCTAAGGTTATAGCTACTTTTCTCATATAGATTTTAGAATCTTGTACAGCCATGGCCTAACATGGCTATGCAAGTTTTGGTAATCTGGAGCTCATCTGAAAGGTCCTAAAGCAACCTCTAAGAACTACATCTCAAACAATATGGTCCCAGATTTGAGCTTATCATTGCAGAATTATTCTCACTCTAATTGCAAGAAGTAGTGTTTAAAATTTCATCTAAAGGATTGACCAATGTTCTAAAGCAGGAAAAACTACTTCAGAAGATACAAATAACTGCTTGCATGTTATTTCACTATTCGATGCCAAGCACTTTGTTTTCACAAACTCAAGACAGAACAGGAATAGCAAAATAAAGTGCTGACATGTCACTGTTAATGAATGAGATACTGTTCACAATGATGTGTCTCTGTCATACACTTGGTAGATGTCATTTAAGCAAAATTCCAATTCAAGCAAAGTAGACAGGAGTAGGCAGGAGTCTATGTTTCCACCCTAAGCACCTACAGAGTACTATTGAGATCTGTGATACTGAGTATTAAATGATATTAAAAGCCTACTGTGCTGCTAAATGCAGGTAGACACTTGTGCCATTGCCAATAGCTCCGGAGCTTCATTGAAATGCCCCTTCAGCCTCCCACTTCGCAGAGAGCAGAGCAACGCCACTGTTTAAGCTGGCCCACCAGGGCCTGGGCTAGAAGGTGCAAATCTATAGATCCACAGCTTAAACTAACAGCTAAATTGCTTAGGTCTGTGAAAGGACAGAAGGGTCCCCTGAGGGGCATGTGCCTGCAAAATCAATCACCAGTGGGGAGGACAGAAGGGTCTATGCCACACGTGCACCCTGAGGGGCGTGTGCCTGCAAAATCAATCACCAGTGGGCCCTGGAAGTGCCTGAAAGAACATCCCACAGGGAGGACATCTTCTTGAAATCTTACAGTTCAGCTGACCCAAAATTTCTTTTCCTTGTCACACACTTCCTCTCCCTCCAGCTTTAGCAGAATATCACACCCGTGCATCACACGCAGCAGCCCTGTGTCTATAGCTACACAAATACATCCCCCAGTTCCACACCCCCACAATAAACTCACACCTGTACACACACACACACACACACATACCCCCCTCAGAGCCACACGCCAAGAGGAAAACTCCCCTCATACATCACACCAATTATCTTCCAGCACAATCTTTTGCAGATATATAAGTACATATATACACATATATACACCATATCCCATTCACTAAACCCGGTTTTAATAAAAGCACAGGCTGCCAATTGCATACAAGAAGTCAAACTCATGTAAACAAATGAGTAGGTGCGTGACTAAGTGTATGAGCATCTACATGAGTGCGTATGATGGGCACGCACAGGGTTCATGAGTACACGTGGCGCATACATGAGTGAGTCTGTGTGGGTGCAGCATGCATAGGTGCATAGGTGAATGTGATATGTATGCAGATGTTTATGTGTCAGGAGGTGCGATTGCAGGCCTATGTTAAACACAAGTTTACACATATATGCCCCATAGTTACCCCTTGCCTTCACTAAACCCAATCTCAGTGGCAGCACACGCATACGATAAGCCTGTGGAGGACAACATACAGGGCATGTGTGTGCATGGATCGTGTGAGTCTATGCCTGTGCCATGTGAGTACACACAGCAGGGTGCAGCGTGTGTGTGGGTGCCAGTCCCTGCGCGGCTAAGTCTGATACTGCCTGTGCGGGTAAGTCTGATGCTGCGTGGGCGGACATGGTGCGTGTGCCTGCGCCCCCCGTGTGAGCCCCTCGCGGTGCCAGCCGAGCCCCGGGGTGCCGGGCTGGGCGTGCGCGGGCGGCTCCCCGGGCGGGACGGGACGGGGCTGCCCCGGTACCTGCCGAAGTGTCCCAAGGAGTCGAAGAGGCGCTC